AATGGCATAATTTTATGGTGATTCCTAATCATCAGTACTGAAGCGAGATATTGTAATACCAATGCTAAAAACTTCATTCATGCAGTACAATAACATGTTGCTACGTGGCAAAACATCTATAGATAAGACATGATCCAATACACTTTAAAACCAACTTTCTATTTTAGAAGGTTCTAGTTGTTTCTCGTGGGGTGGTGGTAGAGCAAGCTATAAACTGTGTAATATTTTGATGCTCAGTTTAAGTGTGTATTTTTTATCTTGCACTAAAGCTAATATTGTGATAGCTTTGTGGTTATAAAGAAATTAAATGTTTTTTGCTAGGGTTAGGGTCAGCAAGTTCAATGATTAGTTATGTCTCAGAATGTGTCAGAGTCACATGTCTGGGTTTTTCTTTAGGCCATAGAAAACTTTGCCTTGACAGTGAAAACTACAGCGCAGATGCTACAGAGGTTTGGGTCGGAGCTGGCAGAGACGGAGCTTCCCAATGATGTCCAGAGCACCAAAGACCTACTCGCAGAACACACTGGCAAATACAGTAACCTAAAGGTTAGGCAGCACATTTAGAACACGCTAAATAATGCATGAGAAGACAAATATTTAATTAAAACTAAAGTTCTCTTAACCAATGCCATAAAATGTCCTACCTGAAAAGGAAAGCAGCGAGAATGTGTAGATGTACAAATGTTTTACTAGTTACCTTGTTTACTGTTTAAATGCTTTCATGCCTCTAAAACAGGAGGAGCTGAAGCTAGCTTTAAGACAAGGCAGCACCTTATTTACCTGCATCAAGGACCAGACAGTTAAATCGGAGAACCACAAACTCAAGCCTGACGAGATGGAGAACCAGACAACCGTGGAAAGGTAACTGACACTTTTTATGTCGTGTTGCTAACCTTAACCTATATTAGGAAAATGGCCACCTTCCCATTATACCTGGTGAAGTAGATCCTTTCTGTTGTAGACTCCTGGCCCAGCTCGATGAGACAGAGAATGCTTTCGAACAGTTCTGGTGTAAGCATCATCTGAAGCTGGAGCAGTGCCTGCAGCTGCGCCATTTTGAACAGGATTTCAGAGAAGTAAAACCTCTGCCTGCATGGCAACCTCTGTCCAACAACCTTTGCATAATTTCTGTCCTCCCTTCAAACACCTTCAAGAATAAAACCCCTGAAAGATTTGAAGAAATGATTCCTCTCATTTTCTAAAGTTTTGTGCTTTAAGACTTTGGCAGGACAGACATTTAAAACATCTGTTATATAAAAAGTGACCAAGTGGTGTTTTGTATTCATAAAAAATAACATTCACTGTCAGGAAATTCAGTGGATGAGTGGTTATGAATTAGAATGCTTAGATTTAAATATTATGTTATCTCTTCAAATGTTGTTCACAATTGTAATTTATTATTCTTCTCTCTTCAATTAGTAGTTTTTATGATTGGTTTGAAAAATTACTTAAAGAATGTAATTTTAACAGGGAGACCATTATCTGTTGAGATTTTAACATAAACTGGGAGATACATCTTACAGAATGAACCTTAGAAGAATAACCGATAAATTTGATTTTGTCCAAGTAATTCAAAAGCCTAAAAGAATCACTTCATCAAGCAGTACAAAGATTGGCTTCATATTTACTACTGGTTCTCGGAGAATAGTAAAATCTTATAACATGCTAGCTGGTCTTTCTGACCATAATCTGATACTTGTGACCAGGAAGATTTCAAAAAAGAGATTCACTTATTCTGTAAGAGAACACCCTTTTATAGATATTATCAGGTTTAGAACTGCCATCAAGCAGATTGACTGGGATCAAATATTGGAGGGAACTGATAATGGAATGGTCTGTTTCCATTTTGCCACAGCAATGTAGAGGATAATGAAAAATGTTAGCTTTAAACTCAAATACAGATGCAAGAAAAACAGCCTTGGATAAATTGTGACATAGTGAAGCTAATGAAAGAGAGGGATCTTGCAATAAAATCCCATTCAAAAGTAAGTCAGCTAGTCCTAAAACGTCTTTATAACATTAAGGAATAAAGTATTAAAAAACATGCAGGCCAAAGCAAATTCGTTTTAAACAATAATGGAGAATGCCAAGCACAATCCAAAATTTATCTGGAACCATTTGACAAACCTTGCAGGACAAAATACAAAAGAAAATAAGCTTGTAGAAGTAAAGATAAAAAGTGAAATTATAAATAATTCACAGAAAGCTACAGATGCTTTCAATGATTTATTTTATTTAATCCTCAAAAACCGAGAGTATTCCTTTTAACAAATTAAATATGTGTCCAATAAGTAGCTTAGAGGCAACTTTCAGCATAGTTCATGTTACAGATTCTCAAGTCCTAGGCAACAAGATCGCTCAAACCCTCCAAAGCAAAAGATGTATGGTATGGATACATTTATGTTGAAAGATCTTAGTTCCACATTAACAAACGTAAATCAATTGTCCTCTGAGGCAGCATTGGAAGTCAGCTGTTGTTCCACCTAGTCTTTAAAAACTGAGATCCTTTGTATATTAGAAACTACAGACCAATTAGTATTATATATGCAGTGTCTAAAATAGCTAAGAAATTAATTGCTTAACAAATGATTACAAATACCTGTTCCTTTCTACTTCACCCAATGCAATTTGGCTTCAGAGCTGAGTACTCAACAGAGACTGCAAATAGAAAATTTTAAATATTTGTTGGATAAACATGGTACTGTTGGTGCTGTTTCTTGGAATGAAAAAAGTGTTTGACACTGCAAATCATAAAATATTGACAAAATTAAGTAACTTCAACTTCTCTTCAGACACAATAAACTGAATAGAATCATATTTATCACATTGATTACAGTCTGATAGAATCGGAGATTACATTTCATCTTCTCTGCCTTTGTCAACATGTGTTCCCCAAGGTTCCATTCGACTTCTTTTAAATATCCACACTGGGATTCATAAGAACATAAACACTGATGTGGGAAAAGCAAAGTACCTGAAACCATAATTTTAACATGTAGCCATTAATTAGTCTGGTCCCTAACACTTATGTTACACTTTTGTCCCTAACACTTATATTGGGCTTAAACAAGGACAAAAGGACTTCAAAAATAAAGAAAAAAACTTCAAATGAGGGAGACACAACATAACAAAGGAACAAAAAATACAAAATTAGCTAAAGTAATATATTAAATAAATAAATAAATAAATAAAGCAAAACTGGCTTTAACTTAGCACAAATATGTGACTATTAAAGTGACAAAATTAAAAACTAAGGTCAACTTTAACAAATAAAGTCCCATCTCAGTCTTTTGGAAAACTTGGTATGATCGAGGCTTCCTCCTCCAGTTTCTCTGTGTTTGCAGAACCTCAAAAGAAAAAGAACAAGTGTAAGTAAACAATTCAGAGAAATATCAACTAAAGTGTGCACCCAATAAATTAAAATAACTTTAACTTAACTCATGTATCGTGTAATCTGTAACTAATAATGTAAAATAAGAAAAAAATACTAACGTTATGTGGTGGTGGTAGGAGCATCCACCACAATCTATAATAAAATACTGTATTTTAGGATTTGATATCTATTAAGCACCACATAGATTTTTCAGTTTTTTTCTATCATGTTTCTTAGTATGCATAGATGTGTGTGACCAGGGGTCTCGTGCATAAAAGAGTGTGCAGTTTTCACACTAAAACGTGGTTTACGGAAATATAGCGGGCCTGACTCGACTGAAGGATGCATGCAACTGGATCGGTACCTGTACCGCACCGCATGGCTCTCTAAGTTTTGCTCAGAGATCCAGGATGATATAACTATTTATACATTTTCGTTTGTGCAGTTTTCCCTTATGAAATATTACAAGTTATAATTTTGACCGATGACATCACCAGCCCCCCATCAGCATAAGCTGTACATTTACAGAATAGAGATGCTTTCTGTCCATAAAGGCGCATTTACAAAGCATGAATGTAGTCAGATTTCAGTGTATTTAGGTGAGTTTTGACGCTTTGTAGTTTGATATTGTCCACAGAAAAAGTTTGCGTTGCTGCCGCACATTTTCACGCCAGCGAAAAAGTGTACGTATATTTACGCAAACTTTGAGGCAAAGTTATTTTTTATACGTGCTGACTTGTGCGTAAAATATGGCACCGCACATTCTTTGTTCACACGCACACTTTATGCATGAGGCCCCTGATGTCTTGCAAGCATCATAGCTTGAGTAAATGGGCAACAAACTTTTTTTTTTTTTTTTTTTTTAAATACACTCATACATATAAGGCATGTTTTTATTTTTTGTTAACCTGTATGTTAACCTGTATTTTACCAGATAAGTTGGTTGAGAACAGATTCTCATTTTCAACAACAATCTGTTCAAATAAGAATAGGAGATTCATGAACACTTTTTATGGATCTCTTCTAACTTTTCTTATTCAGGTTAAAGTGACTCTGGACACACGGATGGACTCTCTTAAAGGCCTTTCTGATGCTGGAGATTGTGTGGCCAGAGTGGAACATCTGCTAATGGAGCTCAAAACACTTGAGGAAAAGGTTCAGGTCTGTCAGCCTAAAAGGAGTACAAAAGGACACATATGTAAAACATTACACCAACATGCTTTTCTTTTTCTCTTCTACTAACAATTTGAGTTCTTTAAAATAAATCCTCTCTTTTTTAAGGTGGTTGTGATGAAGATCCCATCAAAGATACATTAAAAAAATCTGTTCCACATAAGGTCCATGCAAAAAGAGTTGGATGTGGTCATGTCAAGCTTATGGTTATAGCACATTTCAGTAAAAATGCAGTTCAAAGTGCTTTACATCATCAAAACATCAATCAGTCACCAATTATGAAACAGCAAAGAACATCACATTTTGTCAAATACTATCATCAAGCAAATGTATTGATCAATGTTCCAGTTATTAATCAAATGCAACTCTAAACAGGTGGCTGGAAGTTTGTTCCAGATTTGTGGTGCTTAGAAGCTGAATGAAGCTTCTCCATGTTTGGTTCTAGTTCTGGATGCAGAGTAGACCAGAACCAGAATACCTGAGAGCTCTGGAAGGTTGATACAACAGCAGTAGATCTTTAGTGTGTTGTGGTGCTAAGCTGTTCAGTATTTTATGGTCTATTCTCTGAACTCCCGGAAGGCATGGAAGGATTTAGAACTAGGGTGATATGCTTTATCTTCTAGATTTTGAACATTTGTTGTAATTCCAACATGTCAGTGCAATTAAAACTGCTTTCATTTTCATTAGCATTATTCCAAAACCCCAGATTTAAATATTTACAAAATTCATTTTTGTAAAATTGTTAGTTAACAATTATTGCTATATTTCTGACTTTACTTGTTTTGTAGCCCACACTAGAAAAGGCCCAACTCCATGCCATGCATGGTGACCAACTCATCCAAAGTAACCACTATGCTGTGGACTCCATCCGGCCGAAGTGTGTGGAGCTCCGGCGGGTCTGCGATGATTTCAGCAATGAAGCCAAGAAAAAGTCTGATGTCTTGTCTAAGTCTTTGCATGTACACATGGGCATTGAGAAGGTATGGATGTGAAACAGTTTATGCATTTTGGAAACATCAGTCTCAGAAAACAAATCAGATGTCTGGTTTTTATGCATGTAAATGTGTTCTTTAATTAGTCCAGACACAAAGCTTGAAAATGACTGCTGGACAAAATGTTCAGAACACAGAGAACTTTTAACTCAAACTCAGTGCATTCATACAGGAATTCCACTAGTTTAATCTAGTGTGGACATTTACATTTGGGACGTCTGGTTGGACTCAAGTCTGACACGTTCATTTGTAATACTTGAGACATTAAAGCCGCTGGTTATAGTTAGGAAGCTATTTAACTATTAAAACGGCTTTTTCAATAATTTTGTTGATGAATGGAAGGTTGGCGATTCCCCTGTAATTCTGCAGTAGTGATTATCAATCAGGATTTGTTTATTGTCTTAGAGCTTAAGAAACGTGACAATGGCACCAAAAACTGACCCAGATCTAACCTGTTGGTGTTTTTGTGTGTTCAGGTTAACCAGTGGTGTGAGTCTGGCATCTACCTACTGGCTTCCCAAGCTGTGGATAAGTGCCAGTCACAGGAAGGGGCAGAATCAGCTTTAACAGACATTGAAAACTTCTTGGAGTCAGCAGAAAAGAACCACGTGACAGAACTGAGGAACCTCCACAACCAGTATGAGGTTATCCTGTCAGAGGATGTAAAGGTGCAGTACACAGAAAACCATTAGTTAAATTCTGAATAGAAATAATGTTTAGACATTTGATTTTAATGTGCATTTGCAGGGTAGTGTCCTGAAGGCACTCAAACGACTGGAGGATGTTCAAGAGATGTTTGAGAAGCGACGTGTTAGCCTGAAGAGGCTGTCAGCCAAACAGACCAGACCCATTCAGCCGGTGGCCCCACGGCCTGAGTCGTCTCCTAAACGCCCCGCACCAAAGAACGCTGCCAGGACTCCTGGGGGCCAGCAGCGTGAGTGGGACATGTTTCAATTCAATGGAGTCATGCAATTGCATAGAAAACTTGTCTATGAGATTCAGACCATTTAAAAGTTTACTGCCCCTGACTGTAAACTTGTACATACTGTCCTTGAACTAGGCTAATTGATACTCTTACTGTACTTCAGCTACCAAAGCCTGAATGCAATTAAGGGTATGTGTTATTAAATATATAATTAATTTCTTTGTTCATTTTATTTCAGCCTTGGCTAGAAAGCTCTCTGATAACTCAATCAGTGGCAAGCAACCAGCTGAAGCAGATCCTAATAAGAAGAAGAACATCCGCAAGACCAAGAGCATCAAGGTACTTCATCACTTACAGTATACAGCTTCCCATTATGCAACAAAACAGAACAGATGGCAATGACATTGACCTTAATCTTGATTTATGCTTGACTCGTGCGTGAGGTCTGTGTGGCACCACAAGGTCAAATGACATCATTTAAGCAACCACATCCCATACACACATACACACACACATATATATGCAATCTAGTAGTAGGCGAAGATGCTATCCAAGATTTTAAAAATGGATTTAAATCCAGTTTTCTTATGCTGTGGTCAACTTCTAATCATAAAAAAATCCTACACTGGTAAAAGCTGAATCCATAATTATGTGTAAGTGTTTGTGTGTTTATATTTCTCCCAGATTGAGGTGATGCATGAGGAAAGCCAGGGAGGCTCCACCCATGTTGCTGTATCAAACGAGAGTGAGGAGTGTCTGTCCAATAGACGCAGGTATAAGAAACGCTGCTGTCAGCACACGCTCCATTGACCCCAGGTGCTGATGTCATCAGACTATTATATTAATGAAAAAGAAATTTACACTTTCTAGTAATGTTTTTTAAGTAAATACTTTTCTAAGTTTTTCTCTGGTATATAGCTATTTTTTAAAACAAGGTAAAGTCAGAAAGAATAAATCAGTGACAGCCACGTCAGCCATTTCTGGTCTGTACTAACAGCTCCTCCGACCTCATGACACATGATGGGAAAACACGATGTGAAACCAGATTATTCAGCAGAGCTATGTTGTTGAACTGATTCATTTCGAGTATTGATTCTAAACTCAGTGGTGGGTTTAAGTGCATTTGAGTGACGGGAGGTGGGGTTAGGGCAAACAGCCCCAGTCTGCATGACCTTCAGGGTCTCAGTGAAACAGGACATGTTGTCTTAAGCAAGGATGGAGAAGCCTGTTAAACATGTATTAATATAAAAAAAGAGCAGAAAGTATGTCCTTGGGAAAATATGTTCTCTATTTTTTGCATAGAGAGATGATGTAATCCATCATGCTGTCAATCAGAAGAATTTGAGAGCAGTATTTCATGTTTTCTCACCCACATGTATTATTCAGTCAAAATCCACATACTCTCTGAAGGGTAATGGGGGGGATGTTTCCTGGTTTATGTGTCTGATTCTTTAAAGTCAGCTAAAATATCCCCAAAACTGTTAAACAATGGCAAACCCCAAAGAATTAAAAGGAATTTCCAGTAAAAAATAAATTAATAAATGCAAAAAATTCTTTCCCCGCTGTTGTTCATCCCTAGAGGCCAGTCTCAAACTGTGGTCCCCAGACCACTGGTGGCCTGTGGACATCCCCTAGTGCGACGCTGCAGCTAGCTTACCAAAGGATTGTGTTTAAAAATAATAATGACTTAATAACAGGTCACTAAAAAGAAAACCTGAAGATACTGTTTTAAAGTTTCTCAGGGTGAGTTGCAGGACTTTGGTTTTTGAACTCTTATTACAATACACAGTATGCCACAGGCATGCAGATCTAGGTTACTGTGTTAAATGTGACATGATAGTGACGAGGCAGTGAGCAGAGCTGTGCCCCAGGCTGGCTATGTTGACTATCTAGTGGCTGAAAGAAACTGTTTTTTTTTTTGTTGTTGTTTTTTGCCAAAGCAACCCAAGTTTATATTTCTTTTATTATGCTTCTAAATTACAAATAGCCCTGAAACATTATCAGTGCTCACAACACTTGTAAGGAACTTTTTTGATTTTCATCTATTTTCTATCATTGGAAAGATTAGATTTCATACTTTCTAATCGTATACCTTATTGTTGGTTATGTAGACCTAAAGCTCATCAGCAGCTCATGTGAATCACAGTTGTGAGAAGTGTTCTAATGAATACACCTTAAGGACTCAAAGCTGTTCAAATAAGTTAAGCAACATATGAGCTAAGGTTTCTGATCACTCAAAAGTAGGACATACTTGCACAATAAATCTTTGGTCTTTA